GCAACCTCACCACAGATTTCAAACAATGACTCCTTTGAAGTGATCAAAAATAATTATATTGACAATGCAAGCCACTTCACTTGTTGATATTAATAATCTTTTATATATTTCTCTGGTTGCCATCTGTAATACTCTTATTACTGTGACTTGTTTTTTTAAAAAGGCACGTTGATCCTCCCCAACCCGAACTTTGAGTCCTGCCCTTTTGTCACTTCTTCTGTTCTCATTTACTCCTCTTTTCCACACCTTCTTTATTTCATCATTGCTAATTTCCATTTTTTTTCCTCAAGATCTCAAGTTCTTCTAGCTTTGCCTCGTGCCGTACAGGACTGTTCTAGAATCACAGAGCCATAGAATGGTTTGGTTGGAAGGGAGCTTAAAGCTCACCTCGTTCCAACCCCCCTGCCATGGGCAGGGACACCTCCCACCAGACCAGGTCACTCACAGCCCCATCCAACCTGGCCTTGAACATTCCCAGGGATGGGGCATCCACAGCTTCTCTGGGCAACCTCTGCCACTGCCTCACCACCCTCACCGGGAAGAATTTCTTCCTCATATCTCATCTAAATCTTCCCTCTTCCAGTTTAAAGCCATTGCCCCTTGTCCTATCACTAAAGACCTTGGTAAAGATTCTCTCCCCATCTTTCTTATAAGCCCCCTTTAAGTACTGAAAGGCCAAAATAAGGTCTCTCTGTTCCAAGAAGTCACAGTATTTTAATTTTGGAGTTGATTTTCAGTGCTCTGGACCAGTTCCAGATTTCTACCAAGAGTTTGCAATTGAGCATATATGCAAAGCTATGACTTTCATTGGTAGTTATGAGCTACTTTTAGATAAAGCAGAAATAGTGAAATTATAGTTCTCATGACAAACATACAAGTAATAACTGTATAATACATGTGGATATAGCACAGCTGTAGATTAACAGGATACCAAATAATTTTAGAGTGCAAGTCTTACCCTTTTAGCACAGAACAATGACAAATTGAATGTGAGGTGGAAAAATAAAGTTTAGGCATGTGATTAAGTCCTTATCCTGAAGACATTAACATTTGTTACAGCTACACGGAAGCTCTTGTGAAGCAGATAAAAATCACAACCAACTGATGAGAATTCTATTTAAAGGTTCATAGGTACATTGCATAGTTCTGTGTAACCCTTTCCCTAAAATGTCGTGATAAATAATGGTTTTGTATGAATGGCTGCAGACCTCTATCACTGAAGCCGCTTTTATTGCTTTAATGAAAACATTTGAAGGTTAAGTAACTAAACCAGTAAAGTTTCTTCCAGGAAATTCTTGATCGGTGTTTTTTCTGTTTAGGATATTTTTGACAGTGACTGGTACACTTCTCGCAGTCTGCTTGGAGGAGCTGATATTATTGTGATTAAATACTCTGTCAATGACAAGACTTCGTTTCAAGAACTAAAGGACAGTTATGTCCCAATGATAAAAAAAGCGTTAAACCACTGCTCGGTTCCAGTAATAATTTCTGCTATTGGTGCACGAAAAAATGGTATGTATCCAGTCTCCTGTAGTTAATAGTTAAAATCTCACTTGGAAGTTGGATATGCTGTAATTTCAGTAGAAGCTGATTGTTTTTCCAAGTTGCTAACAGAAACAATTAGTCTGTCAGGATGACAGTAATGTGTGCATGTATTGTGGTTCTGTAGACTGATGTATTGTCAGGAATATTATGCTTAACGAACCCTGGCAATGAAAGGCATCCTATCCTGCTTTGACCTCTGCAACAACTCTTCTTGTGGAGCCATCGCGCGTGGGCATTACATCTAGTGCTTTGGATTAAACAGCGTACACCTGAGTGTATGAGATGAAACCCATGGTTATCAGTTGTCTCTGGTCATGTCTCAGTGTCTGAGATTAAACGTCTCTAATATGTGTCTCTAGCGTCTGAGATTAAGTCCGTCAGCTTGGAACCACTGGAGAGGGGGTGGGAAAAGCCTTGAAATTCTTTGGGATGTTGTCAGATGAATGGACACACCAGCCCTTTGGGTACCACGAAGTGCCACATGCTGCCGCATCAACGGAGTTGACCTGTCATGGCAGAGTAGCTATGGTATAGATATGGTATGGCTAATGCTATAGCTTGCGTGTTTGCACAATACCCTGTCCAGGCTGATGAGGAGACTGCTGTGAGAACAATGAAAATTGATTTTATGTTGAATATTTAAAGTTGTTGTTGTTGCTGTGTATTCAATATGAAAATCACAGTCCCGCAGTTGTGTAAGAACCGGGTGGTCTTAGAAGTGTCCAGCAGCCAACGAGGGCAATGCTGCGGAGAACGTGTTCACGGTTTGGGTGGACAGTAGTAACTCCCATCTGTTTACATCAGGGAAATAAAGTTCGGAAAGAATACCACAGATACCAATAGAACAAACATACAAACTTTATTCGGTATTCCCACCTGTTTTGCATTGCTCTTTTGTTGATTTTCCTGTGGTCTTTTTAGTCATGGGGCCTGATTTTTTTTTTTTTAAATTTTTTATTTTTTTTCCTGAAGCCATGAATGCAAAACTAGAGCCTGTGGGTTGTCTTTTACTTTATGTGTTTGTCTAAAACACGTGTTTCTGAGCATCCCTCCTGCTGTGAGTAAGGGACCTGATGGATGTAGGTGCAGACATTTATTTTATAATGTACAAAGAAATATTAAGCTATATGAAGTATGTCCCCTGTGGATGTAATGCTCAGTTTTGCCAGGGTCTACTTACGTGTCTTTTTGCTCAGTCATTGAGAAAGGACTGTTAAAGAGCTCTGTAAATCCTTATTTTTTTCCCCTTTAGCAATTCACTGATAATGATCAAATGTCTTTATGCTCTGGTTGGTACAGGGGTAATAAATCTGCCATTCTAAAGGCACGGTCTTGCTAATCTGATGTTTGTCTTCCCAATGCTTTTTCTTACACTTTTTATTTAACCGCAGGATACCACCACTCTGAGTGACTCCACTAGTGGCGTTTTTCTTTTCCACCTTTTTTTTTTTTTTTCCTGTCTTCCTCCCTAAATAATGTGACTGTGGGGGAAGTCGGTCTCTCCAGCCGTGGTTTCGTTTGGGGACATGCTGGAGCAAACTGCTGTGCACATACAGAACCCTTTTGTTTCCAGGAGGTATTTGTGAATACAGCAGTTTGCTCATACAAATTACTAAGACCTTAATCCTCTGTAGTAGCGAATGGTGCTGCCAAAAGAAATTAAAAAAAAAAAAGCTGTGTTATGATTAATACGTGTTGTCCATAGGTCTGAGCAGAGGAAATTAATGCAAAGCATTCAGGGCGTATTTAAAAACACATCCGTGGCTGGCAGGTTCTCACCGGCGTTAAGCAAAGTTGAGCCAGAGTGGCTAACAGATTTTTATCAGTTAACTGGCATAGTCTTAAAAATACCTACTTGGGCTTAAAAAAAAAAAAAAAAATCATGGAAAATATGTGTAATTGAATCGTAGTCCGCAGTATGTACATACCCATAGCAGCTGGGACTGCAGTGGAGATTTGCTGCGCGTCCTTCCTGCGCGGACAGGCCACCATAATTAAACAAGTGTAAGGGTGACATTAATGAGCGGTAGCACCTGTAGGCTAGTACAACACCTGTCCATTTAAGGACACTGATGCCCTAAGCCAAGCCTGGCTTCTGGAAGTCCTGCTTGACTTTTCCGCCTCAGCAAAACAGAACGTGAAGTAACGCTGATGTAAGGTACGCTGAGCTTTGTACAGCAGCTAGTATTTTGAGATGATTAATAAGAAGTTGGGGTTTTTTTCAGTAATTGTAGATTTCTTACTATAAAACTACTATGTTTCCATTTCCTTCTTTGTTCTTTCCTAAATAATACAACTTTACAATTATTTAGGAAGCTAAGAATTGTGGATTATTGAGCAAAAATGGCCCTTTTCCATCACTTTTTACCCCAGGAGTGCCTTGCACCTGCCCGCTGTGCACTTCGGACAGGAGGAGCTGTGTCACCACCTCGGAGGGAGTTCAGCTTGCCAAGGAACTAGGGGCCACTTACCTCGAACTGCACGCTCTCAATGACTTCTACGTACAGAAGTACTTTGGAGGAGTGGTGAGTGAGAAACAGCTGGGTTGAAAGTGGGGTGGCACTGATGGGAGGTGGGAAACTGAAGTCGGGGCTTTGGAGAGTGGAGGCACAGCACGAGTGCTCCCACAGAGGGCGAGTTCCCACCAATGTGAGATTTAGATGAGGTATCAGGAAGAAATTCTTCCCGGTGAGGGTGGTGAGGCAGTGGCAGAGGTTGCCCAGAGCAGCTGTGGATGCCCCATCCCTGGAAGTGTTCAAGGCCAGGTTGGATGGGGCTGTGAGCAACCTGGTCTGGTGGGAGGTGTCCCTTCCCATGGCACGTGGTCTTGGAATGAGATGAGCTTTAAGGTCCCTTGAACTTAAACCATGCTGTGATTCTATGGTGCGAGCTGAATTGGCAGTACTGAGGTTACTCTGGTTTTAACTACCTTCTAGGCAGGTTTAAGAAAGCCGTACTACGCACTGCAATAATTTTTCCACTCCTGTTCCTGTCCTTGTATCTTGCTGGGATGGGATAATCAACACCCAGCTGGACGAGGCACTTGACAACCCCATCCCACTGTGAGGACGTGTCCTGTTTTGAGCAGGTGCCCTGAGTGGGTGACTGTCACAGGCCCCTTCCAGCCTGAATTAGTCCATAATATTCTGGTATTTTTAATTTTATTTGCTCAAACTCTCACAGCTGTTCTAGTTGTAAAGTGAGACAGCTAAGATATTGATGAATTCCTTGATTTTTTAGCATAGTCTTGTGACGCAGTTTGCCATTCTGAGCAGAGCCTGGGGTCAGCCGTGGTGAAGCTGAATGAGGCAGAAGCTGAGATGCTTGTTAAAATGTCCCATCTCTAATGAGCTTCTTATTATTCCACTCTCCTGAAGACAGAGGAGCCCACTGAGCAATTTCTAAATACAGTCTTTCAGATTTATTTGTCTTCTCCACAAAGTTATTTCACGCTGATATTTAATTTTCAGTTTTATGAGGTGTTTTAAGCTCAGCCTTTTTTTGAACCTTTTGGTTACTTTCCTAGTGGCATTTCGGATTAAACAAAAAGGTGCAGCTCTTTTGGCACAGTAATTTCACACGTTCTTTACTGTTGTAAAGACCAGACACTATACCGGTGTACACATATGGTGTATTTTCCATGGGATTTGGTAGTAACGTGCCATATCTGGGTGCAACAGTTAGCCCATTTCTGTTGGATCCATTCACTCCCAGTTAAAAACAAGAAATCCACTCAACAGCTGGTCTAGCCAGAGTATTTTTCTAGTTTTTAGAAAGCACTATATGTGCTACAGTAATACCTTGGGTGATAAAAGTGTTTAAGATATTCATTAACTCAAACCGAACCACCCTTTGTGCCTCTTTGTTCCTGTAAAAGGGATCATTTCCCCTCAGGCACATTTTTATTGCCGTGATGATGCTTGTAGTCTGTCGCAGTGAAACAAACCTTGGCCACAAAGATCACATCGTAAAGTGACTTTTTGAGAGGACGCAGCAGCATTGCATGGTGGTGGTGGTTACCTGCAAGCTGAAGAGCTCATATACGGTTTTGTTATTATTTCCATCACTTGCAACCGGTCATTATCCATCAAGTCTTATTCTTCTCTGTAATTCCGTAATTAGCATCTACTGGAGTTGGTAATTTGAACATTTTTGTGCCTGTCATTTCTGGGAAGATTAAATACCGGAGAATTAACCACCATCATTTGAATAAATAGTCTTTTAAATGGTGCTAATTCCACCTAAATGTGGTACCTTCTCCTGATAAAGGAGTGTTAGGACTCTCCTGGATAACGGTTCATAGTGGCAGTAGCTTCTGTTCTGTATACGGTACCCACTCATTCTCCTTTGTTTGACATCTAGGTTGTTCTTAAATAACTGGGATTTTTTAAAAACACATTTTGTGTTTTAGCTGGAATACTTCATGATCCAAAGTTTGAATCAGAAGTCATCTGAAAAAATGAAGAAAAGGAAAAAGATGCAGAAGTGCCATCGAGTTCAGCCACCTCAGCTTGAACAGCCAGGTGCTTGCTGATGTCTGGTCTCTAGTATTCTTCGTTATGTGTGTCATGTTCTTTGTGCAATTAACATTTTGAAATCATTACTGTGAGCTGTGCTGTCTATCATCAGCTATTCTGGTTTTGTTGCTCTAGTTGCATCATCTTTTAGCGATGGTTTAATTAATTTGGGGGGAATTGTATAGCAATACGTAACATTGCAATGGGCTTCTAATTTATTTTAGACAAAAATGATAGGAGTGGTTTTCTGGTGCACTTGAAATAATGCAAACATGAATTATTAAAAGCTTTACATAAAAGCTTTATAGGCAAATTATAAAAGGAAGTCACTACATGATGCTTTGTCAAGTAATATTTTTATTTGCTGCAAATAAAACAAGGGAGACGTATGCCCCTGCACATGATTTCCTGCACATATTTCTGAGCATCTGATGCATTTATTCAGTGAGATAATTACTGACAGGTAGATACCTCTAAGTACGTAGTTGTCTCTTTTCACACGTTCTAGAAATTCACTCAGATCCCTTAGGTTTGGGATTCGCAGTGGAGGTTCCTTTCCAACAGAACTGCCTAAAGAGGTTTCATAAAAGGACGGACACTTTTTACTAAACTAAGTGTTATATTTCTTATTCTACTATACAAAGTACTTCCACTTTCAGAGTGTTCTACTAAACATACTCAAATGGCATATAAGAACTTTTCTTATTGAGTACTTCTTTCAAAAATTGTCCTTCATTTGAGCAGATCTCTGGGAATAGACTTGTCCTGTGGTGAACACTTGCTGCAATTTCACAGCCTGACTTGTTATCTTTCACAGAAAAAATGCCGATCTTAAAGGGCGAAGCCTCGCACTACGACGCGGACCTGCACAACCTGCTCTGCTGCTGCCAGTGCGCGGACGTGGCCTTTTGCCCCGAAGACCTCAGCACGGTGGTGGAGGCTCACAAGATCATCCTCTGCTCCGTCAGCCACCTCTTCATGCTGCTTTTCGAGGTGAAGAGCCCCGCCGACATCCGCGATGCCTCCATCATGCGGACAGCCCAGAGCCTCTTCACGGTGGAGACAGGGGCCACCTTCCCCCCGTCCCCCCACGGCGTCCCCCCCTGCGTCCCGCCGGCGAGGGTGGTGGTGAAGGACTCTGTCTTCTGCTCTTGTCTCCCAGACATCCTCCGCTTCATTTATTCAGGTATCCCCTGGGAAAGGGACCAGCTACTAATTTCTCGTACAGCAGATGTCTGATGAAGGAGTACGTGGATGACCCTAAGGAGCATGGCTTTGCTGTTGGGAGATGACGTTCTGCCGTGTTGCTACGTCTGTTCTATCCCTTGTGATTATTACAAACGTCATCTATGGAAAAAGCCCTTTGCCTAGATTTAATAAAAATCAGTTGTCATTCCAGATCTAATGAGCATAAATTAAGTACAATATTTTATTCAACAAAGTCCATAAGCAAACATCAATGACATTCAAAAACTTTGCCAAAAAAATCTAGAGTTTGAGACAGTTTTTTGACCTCAGGCTTTTAAAACATTTAAAATTGTTGCATGTTCTAAACATGTTGAAGAGTGTGCAGGGTTACTCAAGAAAACTTGAGTAATTTCTTTTCTGGGTGTGGTGCTGCTGAAGAGAAAACAGTGATCGCTGGTTGGAGGGCAGGGGGCTGGGGTACCTTGCATGAGTTTTGCTACCGATTCGGTATAGGCAGTGACCTCGCCTACCTAATGCCAGCTGCCTGTTAAAATAACACTGATATTTTTTTAACTTTGCAAATGTTGCTTAGGAATCCTCAAGTGAAAGAGATTTATTTTTTTTTTTTCCTGGAAGTACCTGGTACCCAGTTGTTCTTTATGAAATATTTTGCAGGCTGTCGGTACATAAGAATACCTATTTTATATTTGTTGAAAGAATTAGCGGTCTTTTTAATGATGCATTCTGATTTTAACTGTAATAAAAAAAAAAAAGCCCCAAATAATTATAATGTTAGAGCTGCATCTATAAAGAAGCTTAGTCAGTATCTGTAGACTGATACCTGCCTGACATACGAAAAGGATTTTCTGCCTTAGTAGCTAAGACGTGAACACTGGCTGGTGAAGACACAAGGGAGACCATTTCAGCTTTCAGTTAGAGTTTGTACAGTGTAAACATCCCTTTCCATTCTTCCCAAACCGGTGTCAAACACAAAGAACAGATGCAGGAGATTTTGAGTGTGAACATTTTTTTTTCTAAATTTATTTTTATTTGTTGCTGACATGAATAAGGGATTGAACTTGTAATTTCAACAGATGATAGATAAGTGCAGTATGATCATCTGTTACCATTTACAACTTGTGCCTGCTGCCTTTTGTGCACTAATTTTACTTTTTACTTTTGTTTACGTCAACCAAAGAGGTGGGAAACTTTGCAGAGTTGTAGGCGAAACTGAAGGGCATTGCCAAAAATCATCGCACCATCCGGTGCGTTTGAGGGGTGCTGAGGTCTTTGAGGCACGAACTGAGAAGAGGTCAGATCATGGGCCAGTGTCATTGTTTTCAGCTTTTCAAGCCCGTGACATTATGCCCAGGAGGGTATAAACACTTAGCAACCATATGGTATCCATAGGAGCTGATGGAGCTAAAGAAGCCGTACACCGTATGTGCTATTTCAGCCTTTTCTGCACAAGGGTGGCTTCAGGGCTGTGCTGACTTGAGCTTTGCCCTGACCTTCATCTCTCTCTGACTCTTCCTTGCTGCATGGCCCTGAGGATCAGAGCTGAAAGTTACCAAAAAGCCCCTTGGTGTCTTTGAGACTTACTCCAGCAAAGTGTATAACGATAAAATATGTTTGTTTTAATGCTGGCCAACACTTCTTATTTTTCCAAGAAAGATGCTGAAAGACCTAAGAGAACGTCATGGCTTTAAGTCTGAAAATAAGAAAAGAAGAAATTCCACTGCAGACTTTGTGCTGTTTTTAGCTGCCAGTACTGAGAATATAACTGTGCACGAAGCTTTTCTTGTTCACACACCGACAAAGCAATGCAACCCGCAATATGAGCAGAAGCTAAAGAACTTCCACAAATATTGAAACATTCAGGATTTTTTTTTTTTCCTGAATGTCTACCCGCAATATGTAGTGATTGCACTGTGAGGAATTCAGAAATTGATTTTGAAAGTAAGGGAGATGCCCCATTCTGTCTGTACTTGATTGCATAAAAGAAGTACCACGGTGGTTTTATTGTGCAAGAATTGCATCTTGCTCTTCCTAAGCACAAAGATCTGGCTGATTTATGTGCAAAAAAATACAGTTTCTGCAGGATCTGTCTGGTACTGGTATCATCTTTTCTCTGCCTGCTAAGGTGTATGCCTTGTTGATTTATAATCCAACTTTACCTGCTCTCGTGACAGGTGCTTTCCAGTGGGAACGATTGGAAGAGGATATAAAAAAGAAGTTGAAGGATCCAGAAAAAACAGAACATGTGCTTGAGAAAGTGAAATGTATCCTGAAAACTCCAGGGAAGGTACCTCTAACTCTCCTGGGGTAACTGCTAGCATTAGTTACCTAAGTTCTTGGGAAATTGTTTTGTAGACAAGGTTTCCTTCTCAGTCTTTGTTTTAAACTCGTTTTGGCTTACACAGCTTTTATTACTTCATCAGTGGGTTGTTCGCAGGGGTGTGCAAAATACAAACACAGAGCTGCTGATGGTAGCGTGCAGGATTAACGTAATCAGTAGAAAGCACACAAGTAGGTATCCTAAAAGGATTACTAATATTCACAGCTTTGTACATTGTCTAACAATACGATTATGTGTTGCTAATTCTCATGTAATAGAGGCTGCCCGGGAAAGCTTTGCTTTCCTGAACGTGTGCCAAAAGTTACGTATCGACAGTAGATCAGGAGAGGTGGTTTCTCTTATAAACGTTGTGATGTGGAAAGCTGTCTATAACCCAGTATATTTAATTCAGCGGATGACTTCACAGTGCAATGTAACTTACGTCACATTATTATGGTAATAAAAAGTTACAATATAGAATTAATTTTAACAGCCATTTTCTGCTAGAGCTTATACATTCCCTGATACTCTAGAACTTGCACTAAGTATTTCTGTCAATTTAAACGAAATCATCTTAAACTGCCTTCAGAGAACGTAATATAAACATCAAAAAGTTACTTAGCTGTTTTAAGCTTCTGAGCGCTCAGTTGTAGGCTTGCCAGACCTAAGTGTCCACGGCTAAAACACTCATAGGGCTGGACTTAGAAAGTCCTGAAAATTTGTAAGGTAATAAGCTCGGTTGTTGGTTCTTTTTTTTTCTTTTTTTTTTTTTTATATTTTCAGAGTACTTTTATTTCACATTTAAAGTTTTTTTTCAAAGGCATACAAATGAATTGTGATTTTTCTTGATAAAATTAAAAATTAATGAATAAATTAGATAAGATTTTAACCATAAATTCAACCTCATCTGTATTTCACTTATCACAATCTAGCAATATGATTTTGATGTTGTTCCTTTGGGTAGCTTTAGATTCCATTTTTAAAGTAAGTAAGTAAAACATAATTGAAAACTAACTGGAAGTACTAGGTTTTGGAAGGTCTTGACTCTATCATGCCCAGAATATTGTAAGGGAAGTCTGTGCATCAGCCTGTGACTCCCTCTGCCTCTGTGGAGGCAATATCGGGGCAACATCAGGAAACGCACAACTTTTAGCTGCCTTGCATCTGTATGCGGCATCACACGGAGGGATGCATGTGTGTCCCATCAGCGGTCCCTCCAGAGCCCTCATGCCTTGTGGTACTGCAGCCTTCGGTCCGAACAAGCCGTGTATGAAAAAGTCTGGAGTCCAGAAAATTCGTGATGCGGTCAAACCTTTCCAGAGGAGGTGGATGGGGGAGTTTTGTCACAGGTTAGAGAGTACCAAGGAGAGAGCTGGGATGTGACTGTAGGAGATGGATGTGCCTTGGAGGTGCTGCACCATGGGAAATAGGAGAATAAACGATGAAGATGATGGCAGAGGAATGCACGTGAGGGAGGCATGGCTGAGTAGCGTTAGCAAAAGAACATAAAGTAGAAAGCAAAAGGCTGTTGTTTAGTTTCCCCATATAAATGATGTCTTGTAATCTTTTATTCTGTGGGCCACTACACGTGACAGTGTTTTCTTAATAATTTATTTTGCAGCTAAACACTGTAAAGGACTGCAGATCTCACCAGATAAAACGGCTTTATAAGACTTCTCTCAGGCTGTTCTTTAATACGCCTGTCCTAGCTGATGTCATCTTCAAAATACAAGGTACGGTGCCTCTGCTCCTCTTGACATGGGCATCACTGCACCTCCAGCATTGATGCTTTCTACGGGAGAGTAGGAAATGGAGGTGACTGTATTTTCTGTTGCATCAAAAGTAAGAAAACCTATACACTTTGCCATCACAGAATCACAGAATCGATTTGGTTGGAAGAGACCTCTGGGATCATTCAGTCCAACCGTTGTCCTAACACTACCACATCAACTAGACCACGGCACTGATTGCCACGTCCAGTCTTTTCTTAAACATCTTCAGGGATGGTGACTCCACCACCTCCCTGGGCAGCCCATTCCAATGCCTAACGACCCTTTCTGGGAAGAAATGCCTCCTCATTTCTCGCCTGAACGTCCCTGGGCACGGTTTCAGACTATGCCCTCTTGTCCTGTCATCGATTACCTGGGAGAAGAGGCCGACCCCCACGCTCGC